AGTCTGCCCATTTACTTTTCCCCTGTTTTTTTGAGTCTTCATACACCTGTGGCCAGACTTACTGTTTCTCATGCTGTTGCCTAGTTAATCTCAGCCTCATACGGTATTACTCATACTGATCTCAGCATTCCCTCCAGTTATTTGTAGGGTTTGGGCATTTCTCATGCAACTCCCCTTCTGGAGATCCAGCTGTCCCTTTCTGAGCTTCTGTAACTACATGTAACCTTCTGCCACACTGTTATCTGAACAAGCTACAATTTCTTCTTTCAAAGTCCGGGATCATTTTTCTTAGTCATCATCCTTGTTTCTCCTAGCATCTTCTGCTACCTTTTCTCATTCTGCTGCCAAGCCTGTTACTGACCTTAGAAGTAAATGTACTTGCATACGCATGAGTAGCAGTTGAGTAGAGTGTCTCCCAGAGGTGGCTAAGCCAGCTAACTTGGAGAAGGTTTTTTTTAATGCAATCTAGAAATCCTTGTTGCTTGTGCCCTGTGCTGTTGCCCTTTGAGCAGGTGCCAGGGTAGCTCAGGTACCAAGAGCACCAGGGCTTGGAACTGCAATGTGGAGGTTTCTTTTGCTTTTGTAAGGAAGTCTACATCTTGGTAATCTGATTGCAGCCATAATGTTCTCTTTGTTGGCCTTCTCTTTAGTCCTGACCCATAAATTCTTGAATAGCTTGTCCCTCATTATTAGTAGAGTGTCATGCATTTGAGCTGATTAATATAGAGGAATAAAGCTGGCAGGTAAAGTAAATAGCACAGCAAAAGCAATTTCTCTGTTCATTTTGGTTATTAGTCAGAGCATCTGGAAAGCCTGTTAGTTCAGATTTGTGTCACTTCAGTTGAGGCGATTTCTCCTGTTTTCAAATGGCTGCTCATCCTGTCTTCTCAAAACGTTTTAAATGTTAAATGTAGATGTAGCATATATTGCTAAGCAAGTAATACACATTTCTTCTCTTGAAATAGCTTCTGGGAGTATTTAACCTTTTCCAAGCTATTTTTAAATCCTTGTCTGAACCTGTTCTACAGTAAAAGTAATCAATGTGCTGTGTTTTTATGTACAAAACATTCTGAAGAAGTTCACTAATGGAATATGTCTTATATTTAGTACATGTAGTAACTTAATACTAGAATGAATCACTACGTTATGTGAAATTGTTGTGCAGCAGTTCAGCAGAAGCGACCTCAGATTCTATATGGCTGGCTCATATTTTAAAAAAGACTAGAAGTCTCCTAGGTGCAGATTAGAAGGTTTTGTGACACTTAAAAATTAAAGATTGTGCTGGTCTTACATTTCTGGCTTAATTTGTTTTGTGCAAGGTTAGATTTTGCTTCAGGGGTGTAAGATTTGGTCTCTTCAAGAGTTAAGAGAGATATCCAGGTAGAGGCATAGTGAGGTTGCCATGTTAATGTAAATGCACTCAGGGTGTTTGTAAGCACAGTTAACAAACCTTGGAAAAGGCAGTATTTTAAGTCTGTTACACCATTCATTTAAATTAATTAAAACATTTTTAATGTTTAATTTTCCATGTTCAATAGAAACAAAAATGTTATTCTCCTTAAAGTCATACAGTGTTATTTCTTTGCAGTTTTACTCTTTTAACTTATTGCCTGAAAATACTTGTATACTTACTACTAAATTGATGAAGGTACTTGATCATCATAGGTCTTTTTTTTAGTTACTTCTATGCTTTCTCTAGTCAGTGTTAGGGAATGCTGGTGTCTAGCCACCTCTGTTTTGGCCGATGAATAGAAATGTCAGTTGTACTTTGATTTATGGTAGCAAAATAATCCATTGGTTTCAGTGTTGCCTTTAGAAGTTGATTTAAAATGTCTTTCTAGAAGAGCTTGCTCTCAAGAAGTCATTGAATTTCACAACAAACTCTGAAACAGGATTGTTATTTGTTTTGTCAGCTGAATTTGTGTTGCCATTTAAAGGCTACCATAGTCTGAGGGCTACATTGTGTTGCTATCGTGTTTTTAGTGTCTGTTAGGATTTATGAAATCTCATTAAATAACTTACCTGCTTTTTTGTCTGTCTTTATCAGAAAACCTTGCACATTTTTTTTTTAATTCCAGATGAGTGTGTGAACTGCTAGCCTTAAAACCAAAAAAACAGCTGTAGCTTCAGTCAGAGTAGGATTGTGGTTTGAGTGGCATCTAATGAATTACTGAAAACTAATATTGCCCTTTCTAATTGATAGAAGGAAAAGCTGGTTAATATATTGAGGCTTTTTTTAGTATGAATGAGTTCTAGATTCAGGAAATAATTAAGTAATAATTTCTAAAGAAACTGTCAAATCTTACAACGTGAGGAAGCTTTTAGCAGTAGTAGAAAGTGTTTGTCCCAGACTGTTCTCCATTTGGAATATGCTGTGAAAAAGAGGCAGTAATGAGCCATTTCTTTGAGAAGTTATGTAATTAAAAGTATTTGCTGGATTGTTTGCACACAGTTTGTTTAAGCTTATCTACTATTACTTTCTTACAAAATAAATTTGACCATAACACTTTTTCTCCCTCATGTCTGAGGTCTGATACCTTTTCTTGTTCAGGTATCATTTCAATTCGGATAGCACTGGTCTTTTTTGGTAGGGTTGCTAGGCACAGTGTAGAAAAAAATTGCCTGCACTAACTGATAATTACTTTTATTTAGTTATTAAAGTAATACATCAGTGCAGTGTAGCAGCCTGGCAAGTGGGATTTCATATTTGAATAAAACAAATCTATGGTGAAGTCTCATCCACATCATGACCACTCTGTCTGTTTTGTAACTTTTGCTGTGGAGAGAACAGTTGCTTCACCTTGTCAGACTTCTCTCTGCGTCTGTGATCCTGATCTTTGATGGTAGCTCTGGAGGCTAGAAGAAAAGCTCTGATTAAATCAGAGTTTTCAACCCTGTGTACATTGTGCCTGTCTGCATGAGAAAGAGAAGCAAACAGTGACTGTGTAATTGCCATACAGTGTTGGTGCTTGCAGTGCTTTGTCAACACTTGACAGCAATACTTTATGTAGAGTATTGTTGTGAAATCTGGAAAAGCAGAAAAGCTTTTCTCTTGCAAAGGATTTGATTTTTGCTACTTCGATCTGCTTGCTGAAGGGATTGCATGGAGCGATCTCTTGATGTGTGTTTTGCTGTGCCTGGTGTTAAGCCCCAGTTCCAGGTTTGATTGCCTCCAGCTACTGCAGTGAAACATTACATCTGCTTGGTTTGCTTATTTCCATTACAGTTAGTCAATAGGCCAAACTTTAACACATTGTTTCATTGCAAAGGTAATTAGTGTTTGCTGTCAAACACTAAAACAAGTTTAAGATTGCTAGTTGCTCCAATTTGAGCTCCCAGATATGTTATCCTCTCAGGAGTGCACAATCAGTAAATGTGCAAAATGCACTGGATAAAAACTTTCTTTGATCTTTTTTCATACAACTATTTGCTTTGTTGTTGCTGCTAGTTGCATGTAGAAGTGCTGGACTATCAGAAATACTAAACCAAAATCTTTACATAAAAAAATAAATCTTTATTGAAAGACTTGTTCCTTATCCCAACAGTGTGGGTTGCTTTTTTAGGGTGTGTCCACTTTGCAGTGTTTTAACCTGTGGCCAGTACCAGAAGTGCCCTGTTTAACTACAAGTGTGGTTACATTTGGGGTTTTATTTTTGTCTGTTTGCTATTTAAGCAGGGTGCTTCTCTTTTTGACTGCTCCATACCTTTTGGCTACTGTTAACAGTTCAAGGCTCTCCAGGGCCTGCAGTCCACTCTTGCTGCTCTGCTGTGCCTTTTGGGTGCTTCATGGACTGTTTATAATGGCATTTCTGCCAGGGAATATAAATGTGATTTTTCTCCAGTGCTATAACTCAGGTTTCTTTAATCAGAGCTGTGTGATGAAAAGAAGAAATAATGCTGTCTACTTGAAATGAGCAGCATGGAGAAGAGAAGTGGTGTATAAAACTGTGCATGATGTAAATTGAAAGAGACTTTTTTTATGTTTCTCTGTGTGCATGTTATATATGTAGCCATTGTAGTTGATTAAATCCTTTTTTCCTTTGTTAAGTGTATGTACAAGCTTGGAGTATTACCATCTCTCAGTTGTTTCATGTGTTTTTAAATGTAGCTGTGGTCTCTGTGTGTTTCTTGTACAGTACTAGTGTCTCCTCACATTTTTTTTATTCACATAATGAGAAGGCTCATGAACTCCTTAGAAAGAGACTTAAATACTGCTTTTTAAAAAAATTTGGATTTGACAGGGTCAGCTGCAATAACAGTGGGCAAATGAGAAGTTCACTGAAGTCAAATGGGCCATTAGAGACAGGGAATCTGTTCCCATGCAGTGTTCTCCAGTATTGTTGCTAGACAGGATTTCTGCTTTTTGGCCAATTTTTATCCCTTCATGTAATGAGTATTAATATAACTTTGAATTGTCATGAATAACTGGGTAAAATAATAGTTTTGTTGACATTACTAGTTGCATATGCCATGAAGGTAAAGCCTTCCTGTAGAGGGCTGCAGTAAAATTTCCTTTTGAGGGAGATGTGTCTCTTAGCTTTTTCTGCAGTTAGTAATTTATCCATACTACATTTGTTCGTCTAATTTCTCAGTCATTGTGAGGTGGTGGGGATAATGTTCTGGGTGCATTTCCAGCAGTGAAGGGCACTGACAGATCAGTGCTCAGTCCTTGACATGATATCCATGTATCTTCAATACTAAATGACATTGGTGTTTTGGCTCTTATCTACAATTTTTCAGCTTCTTTGTTTTCTTTCCTTCCTGGGAGGCTTGTAACTGTTCTTGAGAGTTCTCAGTTATTTCATCTTCCTTCCTCTCTCAATGTTCAGTTGTATTTTTCAAGCCAGATTTTTGTTAATTTTGTGTTGATAAAAATGTATCAATATGAATTACCATAATTAAAATGTAATCACTTGAACCATCATCAAGGGATTCTACTGTAGTAAAAATTTGTGTGTCTACCTTTTAAATTAATTTATTTGTTTAATTTCATGCTTTAGATCGCTTGGTCTTGCAATGGCACCTCGTGTGAGATTTCTTCAGAAAGTTCAGAAGCAGCTACGTGCAAAAGAGGCAGCCGATGGAACAGATCACTTGGAGGAGACAGAGCAAAGTGAAAATACCCTCTCCTCGATAAACAAGGAAGGCATGGAGAAATGCAGGACTAATTTCAGTGAAAAAGCATCTGTTAACAAAACAAACAAAATGGAGAGAAGGAAAGAAACTGAAGAATGTTCTGCTTGCAGTGAAGGTGCTGAGGAGAGTGGTGAGTCTGAGGATGAATTGAAAGAGCTATCAGAGGAGGAGGAGGAGGAGGAAAAAGAAGTTCATGTACCAAGCAGGGTACCAAACTCGGACTCTCTGCAGTTCTTTGAAGATGATGATGATGATGATACCAAAGGTCTTGATTTGCTGACAGTGAAGCAACGGGATGTTTTTGGTGTAGAAGCTAAAGATAATCCAGCACCTGTAAGTCCACTTCACAGTAAGGCTGATGTATCATAATGATTTTGTATTGGACATGCTCCAAGGAAGGAGGGGGAGAAAAGAGAAAATTCTGCTCTTAGCAGAATACTCACTTGAAGTCAGATGTGTTGTACATACGTATCAAGAGGTCAGAAATGCTCCCAAAAGATAAGTGGTGTGACTTAGGCTTTTATCATTTTATGCAGTTAGCATAAAGTAATTTTATTTGCGTAACCAATATTCTTGTACTTGCTTTAATTTATGAATAATGTGACCTGAATACCTGGGAAATTTTGACAGTTTTAATTCTTATCACCTACTAATTTGCTTGTACCTTTCTAAATAGCTGCCACTTTCAGTCATAATTTTGATAGTGAACTGCAGTTTATAGCATTGGGAGCAGAACTGCAATACATGATGAGCCACTTCCTGATGCAGTTTGTAACAAAGCAGTCTTTACAAAAATGTAACCTTCAGACAAAGATTTTTACTTCAACAGGACCTTTGCTATTAGGAATTAAGCCAGTATCAGAGACAGAGTGCCCATACGTCTTGTATAGCATGGCTATAGAGGCTTACTGAAAGCATTCATGTAGATCTCTCATTTCCTTGACAAATAGCTTTGTAATTTGCATTTCTCTGTCCTTGGTGTTCTGAGAAATGTTGCATTCATTTAATCTTTAAGAACAGTGTTACAGTAAGGGTGGTTTGGGTTTTTAAAATTCTTTTATTATTTCTGTAGAAATTTGGTATTGTGCATATGGTGCACAGTTTTGTGTCCTTTGCCATCTAGCAACTATATTTCTGTAGTAAAGAGATCCAAGTTAAATAGCCATCTGGTTCAGCAAGATGTTTTTCTGAACTTGCATGCATGCAAGGGAAGCCTTCTGTTAAACCAAGTATTTATTTTTCCAACTGGTGTTTTGAATCTTTTTCTGTGCTGTTACTTAACAATACAGGGCACTTGTCATGACCTTAATGCTAATCACCCTGCTAGCTGCATTTATAAGCAGTGTCTTTCCTTTAGAATGTAGTGAAGTGCATGAGCGAGTTTTATCAGCCATCTTTGTCAAAGATGAGTAGTTCCATAGTAAGCTGACTGCTGCCTACACTCTCTACTATGAGGAGGCTGCTACAGGTTGCCATCTTGTCCAAGAACTATGGAAACAGGATGTTCCTGGAATTATTTTTCTGTTCCTGCTATTCTAAGCCCGAGCAGTGCTGCCCAGGCACAGCCACTGCCTGGGAGTAGCTATATTTACTAACAAATTTCAGTTTCATGTAGAAAAGAAATTGCTGTTTTAAAAACAAAGTGGAGTAAAAGATCTCTGCCTTATTTAAAGAGTGATCTCACAGCTTTCTTATTGCTTCCACAATTTTGCATGCTGACATACACAGACAATTGGATGTTGTTTTTGTATGTTGGAAAGTTTTGTTCAGGAAATGGTAAGAGGAGAAACTTTGAAGTAAAAGAATGAACAAAAGAAATTTTATGAAAAGCATGAGTAATTTAGAAAATAATTTGAAACCTCATTGGGTAATCTTTTAGCAGTTCTCAGGCATGAAACATGTATAGGTTAGTTTGTGTTCAGGCAAGTCACACATGATTTTCTGTGAGTCATTGTTGATAAACTGCAGTAAGGGTTAGTGGTTCATACTTTGTGTGCAAGTGTGGAAAACGTTTTATCACTTGAAACCTCCTGCACGCTGCAGTAAGGGTTAGTGGTTCATACTTGGTGTGCAAGTGTGGAAAACGTTTTGTCACTTGAAACCTCCTGCACATGGAAGCATAACAATGAAATATTTAGTTACTCTTCTGTGAGCAAAAAAAGTGAAGTTTCAAGATCTGTATCATTGAGAACTTAAGTTATATTTCAATAATATCCTGCAGAAATGTCTATGGTAGTGAAATAAGCAATTTTGAGACAGTAGAAATGCAGAGCATACTCTGCTTAACTGTGGGAAAGTCTTGGTCAATGCATATAGTAGTGTGGGGTTTATTACCATGTTATTGTGAAAATTATTGATAACTTGTGGAATGCTTTAAATGTAAGGATTCTGGTTTTAATAGTAATAGGAGAATTAGGTTTTCTATCAGTAACCACATTAACTTTTCATGTTTTGTTATATAAGTGCACATAGTAGAAATTATATAAGGAGAATTAGGTTTTCTATCAGTAACCATATTTATTAACTTTTCATGTTTTGTTATAAAAGTGCACGTAGTAGAAATTACATAGAAAGACTCAGGCATTGTGCATTTTTTTAATTTCACTTGTGTACCTCAACACCTCATTTGTGGATATTGAAACCAAATAGGTAGTGTGCCACGCTTTTAATATTTTTTCCCCATTTGTTTTTTTTTTCTGGATAGACGTTTTGAATTAATTATTGCTGCACTGAGATGGATTAGTTAATATCTAAAGAATTAGAAAGAACTGATTACTCTGGGGTATGAGAAGCGCTGAGCAGTAGGAATGCAGTTTTCCTGTTGCTCTGTGTTGAAGTGTCCTAAGAAGGACTCAGGAACTAGTTTGCATGAATTGTTGATGTGTTTCTAGGATGAGACCGTGCATTAATTAATAGTATCAAATGCTTGCAGAGTGTCTAGGAGCATGAGCATAGAGTGTATACTTAGCTACATCAGTTAGGAGGGTTGTTTTTGTAATCTATTCTGTGTGCTAAAAAAGATAGGAGTGCTGTGCAAACATTGGTATGTGGTCATCTAATTGGGGGATTATGAGTATGCCTCCAAAGATTGAATTGAGTTTGCATTTATGCTTTTAATGTGTGTGATTGATTTTGCAGTTTTGCTATTCTTACGTTAGGCTTCTTGTTGATAGCAAAAGAGTCCTGCTGCGATTGTTGAGCTTCAGGGTATTTTTTGCAAATGGAAACATTATGTTCAGTTTCAATTTTTGAATAGCTGTTGTTAGAGATACCATTGCTTCTTGATCCCTGTGTCCATGTTAGTCCCTCCAACGGAAGAAAGAGCAAGAGGAGGTGTTAGGCTGTTTCCAAATATCCTTTGTGGTGGTGCAGTGTCCTGACCTTTGATCACAGGCAGGGTTGGCTCATCCGTCTTTGTAACAAGGGAAAGGAACTAGTTGAAAGGAGCAGTGGTTACTTAAACTGATGATGGAGTAGAAGAGGATTTGTGAGGTTTTTGTAGAACATCTTGTTTTTGTTGAATGTACATGGTACCTAACCTAGCAGTGAAAGGTCAGGCATGGTGTGAAGTGAGACACATCCAGTGTTAATCCTTCTGTAACAGCATGACATGTGGCTCATCTTTCCCTTTCTTAGTGTGGGTCTTGGCGGTATGTATACTTTGTTTCACCATTTTGTGACAACAGATAGAATGAAAAAATCTGTTCTCTGCCATTGCTGTATGAAAGAAGAAACCTTGGATAAGGTGAAAGACCTTGGCAGATACTGCAATTTTGTTATGAGTTTCTGAGCTCATTTTTTAAGGGTACTCACTGGCTGCTCTATTTATGAATTTTACTTAAATATGTCAGGATTTTTAGCTGGCAATATAACTCATGGGACTTGCTTAGAAGTACAGTGTTCTTATGCATAAAAAGAAGGTCAGCTATATGCATAGAGCCATTAGTAGATAGGCAATATTTAGTTGTTGTGTTAACATTATGGAAATTATTCTTTTAAAGTGCATTTAACAGTACTAGCAGTATTGATGTTGCAAAGACTATAAGTACTCCCTGGATGCAAACTTTGTTTCTAATGCTAATTTTGTGAAATTGGTTGTTGCATTTGGCAATTCAAAGGCTGTGCTTGTTAAACTTCAAGCATAAATTTGAGAATGAAGATTAAGCCTATAGTAATTTCTGTTGGTTTTGTTTATACTTTAATTTTGGTCATCTTGTCAAACATATCACACGCCGTCAGACTTGTCTTCTGTTATTGAATTTTCTGGTTCAGCACGAAAAATATTAAATTACTCTGTTCTTAAGATTGCTCTGGCTTCCTTCCTGCTCCTCCATCCCTTGTTTTATGGAGCTTTTCAAGTGTATTTATGGGCTGCTTGGAATTTAAGTAGTATTCCCAGATTCCTTGGAGTTAGTCTGGACTCCTGAAGAGCCTGCTGTTTGAATACTGTGGCTATGGGGGGAAGTGATCTTATATGTTGTGATTCTGTTTCAGCTAGATGGCTGGATTTGCAGTCCAATATTATTACATACAATGAAATTTTCTTACGTTTCTCAAACACATAAACACTGTAAACTGACATATTATGACCTGGATATGTACATGTTTATGAAAGCAGGAAAGAAGAGTCAAAGGTAAATCTCCCTAACTACAGATGGTGGGTGAGTCTATACCAAGAAGCAGGGAGTGATAGCTACTTGTAATGTGGACTTGGCACAGAAAATGGATCAAGGAAGCATCATTTAATATGCACCAAAGTGAGGACATAGTCCCCTAGAATTTTCTTCTGTGATATTGAGAAGAAATTTTCAGAGATGTGATCAGTCTAGATTGCTTTTTTACATTGGCTTTTCCTTCTGAATAGGATTTCTCTCTTCCTGTTACACATTACAGCAGATTTTTGCCAATCTTGTGTTTCTATACTGCTTTTACAGTTTGAAGCATCTTCTAATTCTTCTTGCCACCTCCTACTAGCTGTTATTCTTATGCTTTCACATTAATACATTTTAAACAGGTGACTTTGTCTCCTTGATGCTTTTCAGAGGATAGCAAGATGGAAAATACCCAGAGGAGTGAAGAAGCAAGAGAGCAAGCTGACTGGTTCTGGTAGCAGCATTTCCCTTAGGGGTAGCCTTCTTTGCTCCTGCTTTAGCAGAGTGTTGTGTCCAAGGGAAGAAAGCTGCTTCAGGCAGCCTGCTAGCTCTAAAGAGAGCATTATTCCTTGGAGACATGTTGCAAAGCTAGCATTCTGGCAGAGAAAATAGACAAGTTATTTATTTTGAAGTTGAATAAAAGTCAATACTGTGATGCACTGCATACCATATATTCACCTT